ACAAGTACTGGGTGAGAAGGGGCAGGGGCTGCTGGGTGAGGGGGGACACAGGCTGCTGGGTGAGGGGGGACACAGGCTGCTGGGTGAGGGGGGACAGGGGCTGCTGGGTGATAGGGGACATGGACCTACTGAGCGAGGGGAAGAAGGGGCTGCTGGGTGAGAGGGGACATGGAGCTGCTGGGTGAGATGGGAAAGGGACTGCTGTGTGAGGTGGGGACATAGAGCTGCTGGGTGAAGGGGACATGGAGCTGCTGGATGAGGGGGGAATTGAGGCTGCTGGGTGAGAGGGAACATTGGGCTGCTGAGTGAGAGGGGGCAGGGGCTGATGGGTGATGTGGGGCAGGGGCTGCTGGGTGGACAGGGGCTGCTAGGTGGACAGGGGCTGCTGGATGAGGTTGCTGGGTGAGAGGGGACATGAGCTGCTGGGTGAGGGGGGACAGGGACTGCTGGGTGAGGGGGTATTGAGGCTGCTGGGTGAGAGGAGACATTGGGCTGCTGGGTGAGAATGGGCAGGGGCTTCTGGGTGAGGGGGGACAGGGGCTGCTGGGTGAGGGAGTCAGGGGCTGTTGGGTAAGGGGGGACAAGTACTGCTGGGTGAGGCGGGGCAGGGGCTGCTGGGTGAGAAGGGACATGGACCTACTGAGCGAGGGGAAGAAGGGGCTTCTGGGTTAAAGGGGACATGGAGCTGCTGGGTAAGGGGGGACATGAGGGAGGGCATGGGGCTGCTGGGTGAGAGGGGACTTTGAGCTGCTGGAGGAGAGGGGGATTTTAGCTACTCGTGAGGGGGGATAAGGGGCTGCTGGGTTTGAGGGGGACATTGGGCTGCTGGGTAAGAGGGTAATTGGAGCTACTGGGTGAGAGGGTACATGGGGCTGCTGGGTGAGGGGAGGGACAGGGGCTGCTGGGGGAGAGGGGGAGACAGGGGATGCTGGCTGAGGGGGATATATGGCTTAAAACTTAATTCAAAAAATACATTATTAGTTTTATTTAAAAACAAAACTGTACAGTTATTACCTCCCCCTTCATTACATTGAGCCTTGGTGGGAGGGGGAGCAATCATTTTCCCTGGTGGTCAAGTGGCTCAAGTGTCCAGTCTACACCCCTGGCAGGTGTAGACCATGTGCACTGGGTCCGCACTGTGCTGGAGCATGCGTGTGGTGAGGGAGATCTTTCATCTCCTCATTGAGGAAGAGCCACAGAGCTCCCCCTATGGGCCAGAGGTCAGGTAGCACCAGTCCTTAAGGGGCCAGCCTTGATCTCCCCTGTCGGCCTCAGCCCTTGGCCATCGCGGCCCACCCGGTATTTGCCGAGTTTGCTTGATGGCCTGTCCATGGTGGGAAACCAGAGAGGTAAGAGATCTCCTTTTGGTTCATGGAGATAAATAGTATTTTATTTTTTTTGTAAACATTTTAATTCAAGGTAAGTTTTGTAATTTGCCATCATTTTCACCCAGTGTTTCTATCACTCTCCAGACAAATACAGTGTTCAAAAAATAGGATGCTAAAATTATAATTAAAGACTTGATCTGGATTGTTTGCCTACTGATCTTGGTGTAGGTAAATTCTGTTGTTTCTTAAAGGGACACTCTCAGTAAAGTAATACTTCCTGATGTTATTTTTAAACCTTTGCCCCTCTAATTTAAGACTGTCCTCTTGTTGCGGTAGTTTTTCTTCTTTTAAATATCGTCTCCTCCTTTACTGTGTTAAATCCCTTTATGTATTTAAATGTTTCTATCATATCCCACCTGTCTCGTTTTTCCTCCAAGCTATACATGTTAAGTTCCTTTAACCTGTCCTTGTATGTTTTATCCTGCAATCCATGAACCAGTTTAGTAGCCCTTCTCTGAACTCTCTCTAAATATCAATATCCTTCTGGAGATACGGTCTCCAGTACTGTGTACAATACTCCAAGTGAGATCTCACCAGTGTTCTGTACAATGGCATGAGCACTTCCCTCTTTCTACTGCTAATACCTCTCCCTATACAACCAAGCATTCTGCTAGCATTTCCTGCTGCTCTATTACATTGTCTGCCTACCTTTAAGTCATCAGAAATAATCACCCCTAAATCCCTTTCCTCAGATGTTGAGGTTAACTATCAAATATTCTGTACTCTGCCCTTGGGTTTTTATGTCCAAGATGCATTATCTTGCACTTATCCACATTAAATGTCAGTTGCCACAACTCTGGCCATTTTTCTAGTTTACTTAAATCATTTGCAATTTGGCTTATTCCTCCTGGAACATCAACCCTGTTACATATCTTAGTATCATCAGCAAAAAGACATACCTTACCATCAAGACCTACTGCAATATCACTAATAGAAATATTAAAGAGAATGGGTCCAAGTACAGATCCCTGAGGTACCCCACTGGTGACAAGCCCATGCTTTGAATATACTCCATTTCCTATTGGAAAGCATTGTGATTGGCTGTGATCTTCACCTCTGATGATGTCTGCCAAGAACGCAGATCAGGGGCAGAGTCGGCACCAGGAGACTGAAATAAAGATAAAATTTTACTATATTTAGGAGGAAGTAGGGACCGGCAGGCTAAATAGTATTTTTAACATTATAGGGTCAGGAATGTTTGTGTTCCTGACCCTATAGTGTTCCTTTAAAAGCCTTTACAATGCACAATACAGGGAGTGCAGAATTATTAGGCAAGTTGTATTTTTGAGGAATAATTTTATTATTGAACAACAACCATGTTCTCAATGAACCCAAAAAACTCATTAATATCAAAGCTGAATATTTTTGGAAGTAGTTTTTAGTTTGTTTTTAGTTATAGCTATGTTAGGGGATATCTGTGTGTGCAGGTGACTATTACTGTGCATAATTATTAGGAAACTTAACAAAAAACAAATATATACCCATTTCAATTATTTATTATTACCAGTGAAACCAATATAACATCTCAACATTCACAAATATACATTTCTGACATTCAAAAACAAAACAAAAACAAATCAGTGACCAATATAGCCACCTTTCTTTGCAAGGACACTCAAAAGCCTGCCATCCATGGATTCTGTCAGTGTTTTGATCTGTTCACCATCAACATTGCGTGCAGCAGCAACCACAGCCTCCCAGACACTGTTCAGAGAGGTGTACTGTTTTCCCTCCTTGTAAATCTCACATTTGATGATGGACCACAGGTTCTCAATGGGGTTCAGATCAGGTGAACAAGGAGGCCATGTCATTAGATTTTCTTCTTTTATACCCTTTCTTGCCAGCCACGCTGTGGAGTACTTGGACGCGTGTGATGGAGCATTGTCCTGCATGAAAATCATGTTTTTCTTGAAGGATGCAGACTTCTTCCTGTACCACTGCTTGAAGAAGGTGTCTTCCAGGAACTGGCAGTAGGACTGGGAGTTGAGCTTGACTCCATCCTCAACCCGAAAAGGCCCCACAAGCTCATCTTTGATGATACCAGCCCAAACCAGTACTCCACCTCCACCTTGCTGGCGTCTGAGTCGGACTGGAGCTCTCTGCCCTTTACCAATCCAGCCACGGGCCCATCCATCTGGCCCATCAAGACTCACTCTCATTTCATCAGTCCATAAAACCTTAGAAAAATCAGTCTTGAGATATTTCTTGGCCCAGTCTTGACGTTTCAGCTTGTGTGTCTTGTTCAGTGGTGGTCGTCTTTCAGCCTTTCTTACCTTGGCCATGTCTCTGAGTATTGCACACCTTGTGCTTTTGGGCACTCCAGTGATGTTGCAGCTCTGAAATATGGCCAAACTGGTGGCAAGTGGCATCGTGGCAGCTGCACGCTTGACTTTTCTCAGTTCATGGGCAGTTATTTTGCGCCTTGGTTTTTCCACACGCTTCTTGCGACCCTGTTGACTATTTTGAATGAAACGCTTGATTGTTCGATGATCACGCTTCAGAAGCTTTGCAATTTTAAGAGTGCTGCATCCCTCTGCAAGATATCTCACTATTTTTGACTTTTCTGAGCTTGTCAAGTCCTTCTTTTGACCCATTTTGCCAAAGGAAAGGAAGTTGCCTAATAATTATGCACACCTGATATAGGGTGTTGATGTCATTAGACCACACCCCTTTTCATTACAGAGATGCACATCACCTAATATGCTTAATTGGTAGTAGGCTTTCGAGCCTATACAGCTTGGAGTAAGACAACATGCATAAAGAGGATGATGTGGTCAAAATACTCATTTGCCTAATAATTCTGCACTCCCTGTATGCAAGTCCGCCTGAATCACCTCCTTTCTAAATGTCACAGAATAAAATTGTGGTACTTCCGTATTTGCCAACTACATTATCTCCAAATACACTGTAGGATAAATGTGAGTTTATTCCTAGAGCCAATCCTACAATGTGTTTCATGACTTAAGTTCTATTTTATTCAAACCGCTTGGAAATTGTATAAATTTGAAATAATAGCAACTATATTAAATGCAATCATTTTTATAATATGATGGGTACAATTTATGGAAACAGGCTGCCAAGTAGTACTCAAGTAAAAGAGGGTTGGTAACCACTGCCCTGCAGTGGCTGGAAACTGGTATCTTGTGTGGTTGCTATATCACTATATATATATATATATATATATATATACATATATATATATATATATATATATACACACACACACACATACATATATACATACATACATACATATATATATATATATATACACACACATATTATATACATCTATATACACACACTACCAAAAGGTAAAAATATCAGTGCCTTAAGTCTAAATGGAAGAGTGATCTAAACATTAAGAATTTAGTCTCAGGCATTGTAGAAAAAGTGGCAAATTTTCTGATATTCTCAGGGTTATTCACAAAACTGAGAATCGTCAGGAATTTGTAGTGAATGGTTAACAGGTGGAGAGACACATGTGGGGGTTAACAGTTGGAGAGACACATGGTTGTTAACAGGTGGAGAGACACTGATTGTTAACAGGTGGAATGAGACACATGTGGTGGTTAACAGGTGGAGAGACACACATGTGGTGGTTATCAGTGCTTGCAGATGACACACAACTTTGTAAAGTAATAAAATGTGAGCAGGATATTGCTTTGCTGCAGAGAGATTTGGATAGATTGGGGGACTGGGCACTAAAATGGCAGATGAAATTTAACAAATGCAAAGTTATGCACTTCGGGGGTTAAGAATGCACAAGCAACTTACACACTAAATGGTAGTGAATTAGGGATAACCACACACGAGAAGGATTTGGGAATTGTTATAGACAACAAATTAGGCAGAAATATGCAATGTCAATCTCAGTTGCTAAGGCCAGTAAGATTTTGTCATGTATAAATAGGGGCATAAATTCTCGGGATGAAAATATAATTTTGCCTCTTTATAAATCGCTGGTAAGACCACACCTTGAATATGCTGTGCAATTTTGGGCGCCTGTTCTAAAGAAGGATATCATGGCACTGGAGAGGGTCCAGAGATGAGCTACAAAATTGATAAAAGGAATGGAGCATTTTAGTTATGAAGAAAGGTTAAAAAAATTAAATCTGTTTAGTTTGGAAAAACGGCGCCTGAGAGGGGATATGATAACTTTATACAAATATATTCGGGGCCAGTACAAACCTTTATCTGGAAATCTATTCATAAACAGGGTTATACATAGGACACAAGGTCACACATTTAGGCTGGAAGAAAGGAGATTTCATCTAAGGCAAAGAAAAGGTTTTTTTACAGTAAGAACAATAAGGATATGGAATTCTCTGCCTGAAGAGGTGGTTTTGTCAGAGTCCATACAGATGTTTAAACTGAAATTGGATAAATACTTGCAAAAACATAACATACAGGGATATAATTTCTAATTAGTGGGGTAATAGCTGCTTGATCCAAGGAGACATCTGACTGCTATTTTGGGGTCAAGAAGAACATTTTTCCTAGTTTGTGGCAAAATTGGAAGTGCTTCAGACTAGGTTTTTTGCCTTCTTTTGGATCAACAACAACAACATTTGTGAGGAAGGCTGAACTTGATGGACCCAAGTCTCTTTTCAGCTATGTAACTATGTAACTATGTAACATGTGGAAAGACACATGTGGGGTTAACAGGTGGAGAGACACATGTAGGGGTTAACAGGTGGAGAAACACATATGGGTTAACAGGTGCAGAGACAATGTAGAGACTGATGTGGGGGTTAACAGGTGAGGAGACACATATGGCATTTAGACAGATGGAGGGACACAGATGGGGGTTTGGACAGGTGGAGGGACACAGATGGGGGTTATAAAGAAGTAGAGATATGGTTGAGTATAGGGAGGTAAGATGGAGAGATTGAGGAGAGTAGTAAACTGTGGACACATAAAATAAGACAAGTTGAACAATGACATATTTTAAAATACATTACTAAATTAAAGGACCCTGCAGTGCCCCCTCCATCCCATCCTCCATCCCATGTTGCTGAAGGGGTTAAAACCCCTTCAGTGACTTACCTGAATCCAGTGACCCATCTGAATGACCCTCATGGCTGGGTCAGGCTCTGCCCACACTCCTTCCCCGCCGACGTCAGCAAGCGGGGGAGACCTAAAGCGCAATGCGCGGCAATAGGCGCGTGCATTAGACCTCCCAATAGGAAAGTATTGTTCAATGCTTTCATATGGGGCATAGCATTAGGATGTCCAGCGTCGTTTAAAACACTTTTCATGTTTTAAGAAGCCGGAAGTCCTTCTAGAAGAGGACTTAACCCTGCAAGGTAATTATTGCAGTTTATAAAAACTGCAATAATCACACTTGCAGGATTAAGGGTGATGGGAGTTGGCACCCAGACCACTCCAAAGGGTAGAAGTGGTCTGGGTGTCTGGAGTGTCCCTTTAAAGGAAACTCAGTTGATATATTCACTATTTAGTAGATATACCTATACACACACACAAAATAATATGGGTTTTATTCTGCACATCTGCATACTTGCTGTCTGTATCCTTTGCAAGCCATCCCGTCTTTCCAAGGCACAGACCGCTCAGGAATACTCCAATCAGAGGCTTCTCACTGAGAAGTATCTGTGCTAGAGCCACACATGCAGGCACACATGAACCAGTGTTAATTTTGTCAAATAACAATTTTAGTCAAATTTTAGTGAACTAAAATGTTTGAGATTTAGTCAACTTAAACTAAAATGGCTTTTTAGTCAAAAGACTATGACTAAAACTAAATTGAAAAATTAACACTGACATGAACGCAGCTTTCCAATGCTTCTCAATGAGCTCTAGTACTGCTCATTGAGAAAGGGGGAAGGCAGGCATGCTTTGTTGAGCTAACAGAAGCGGAACAAAATATCCTGGCTGTATGAATGACAGCAGGGAGTTGTTTTGCCATCAACTTGAAAATTTCCAATTTCTATTCAAATCTGCATTTTAGTTTATAAAACTCCAGACACATAAAGCACTTTGGTAAGCTGAAATTGTTTAAGTGTCTGGAATGTGCCTATAACATTTCTTTTAAAATTCACCCTTACATGCTTAGGTACATGAATGCATTCACACAAAGAAACATCAAAAACTAATTGCTAAATGCAAGCCATAAATTGCAATACTGGGACTAGAGCAGAACTAAATATTTTTTACAAATCCACTTCTTTGGCCTTAACTTTATAGTTTGGTTTTTAATTCTCTATATCAAGCAAGTCAAACACAAAGTCTAGCATGGGCCACATAAACAAGGTTTAAGTTTATGTGGCCCAAAAAAAAAAAACACCTTAAATTTTCATAGGTTTATTTTGAAAAATACAGTATATAAAAAAACAGCATCCCCCTCTACTAAATCCCAGCACCCCCCTCTAGCCAACGAGCAGACTCCACTCACATTGCCGCTGCCAGTATGCGACCCCGGAGTCCGGCCTCTGGTATACCCCAAATGGCGCCTTCTACACTCTGTGCCAAATCTGATCCTCCCACTACTTCTTAAAACCCTGTGAAAGTGGAGCACATCGATGTTGAAGGCAACAGAAAATTGCATTAGGCTTGTCAGTAAAAGCAAAAAATTCAAGAAACCACTGTGGTACTCCGCAGATGTGGCCAAAATAGTTAAAAACAAAAAGTTAGCATTTAGGAATTATAAAAAAACCCAGAGTGAGGGAGACAAAATGATCTATAAGATTAGGCAGAAAGAGGCTAACTTTTTTTTTTTTTTTCTCAACTGAGGTCCCTTTCCTTCATTTTCTTCTGTAAATACAAAACAAAAATATTCATTGAGGCAGTCAGCCTGACCTTTATCCTCTTCTACATACCTTCCTTCTTTTGTTTTTAATCTAACTAATCCTTGTTTTACTTTTCTTTTCTCATTTATGTATCTAAAAAATGTTTTATCCACCTTTTTTACTGACTGTGCTATTCTCTCTTCTGTGTGTGATTTGGAAGCTCTTATAACTATAACTATAAGAGGGTTTATTGTTCTTATGTACACATTCTTACACATTAGTACCACCAACAGGGTTTTGGAAAACAACCAATAAACATGTACAATACACTCAGACACTCCCACACAAAATCCTCCCCTCTGCCTGTGATACAATTACCTTACACAATGAGTAATGTAATTACAGAGAAATACAGTTTTTCCACATTATTCATAACTTGAAAAGTATGCATCACATTCACATAAAACTTACATTTTCAGAACTCCAAATACAAACATATGTCAAAATCATCCAAATTGATCCATTGGTTCAAAAGATAGATCGAAGTCCTTTGTGACCAAATGAAACATGGCTTTTCTGCCCAAAACCAGTTCCACAGATTCTTCTATCCTGGAGATAATTGGGAAGTAATCCAATTATCTCCAAGGACAGAGGCAAAACTCCATTGAACACATGGCAGCAAAAGACAATAAAACACATAAAAATATATAACTGTGCAGCCATTGCACAAAACAGGTACATTCAGCATATCCCCAGATAGCTCAGATCTGAGCGCACATTATTACTGAATGGCGCTCAGAGCACACACTTACAGTTCAATTGCCATGGAGCCAAAGTCTTTCCCATAGTCTTTCATTATACGAATGGGCTCCATGGCATAGCTATCTGGGGTATCAACGCTCAAACAGGGCAAGCACCGAATGACCCGGCTTTCGTGTCTTCGCAGGGGAAAATCAAGCGTTTCAACATTGGGCCATAGTCTAAAGGGAGCAGGCGAGCAACCAGGCTTCTCCAGTGCATAGTGGCGAGGTTGGTTCCGCCACACAGTCTATGATGCAGACAGCCTGCTGCTGGTTCATTGAATAAGGGCAGTCCAATCTCCCCACACTGTAGAGCCTCCTATGTAGCAGAATCAAACTGCAAGTAGTTTTTTGTTTTTTTTCTTATGTGTTTACCGCATTTTCCCTTTTTTAAATGTTTTTTTTTGTACTCACATGTCACTCTTTGTGATTTACATACTGTAATGTCATATCCTGTGATTTCACGCATATATAATTCATTAAGAAAATTAGCATGGCAGGTAATTTTTTTTCTAAGAAATGTGACAACCTTAGTATCAGCTAAAGTGTGCCACAAAAAGTCACACTATAGTACATATGTACATTTCCATTTTTCTTTAAAACATGCTGTAAGCCTGAAGAGGCCACAGTGTTACAATTAGTACCTGTTTTGACACGTCTCCTTGATAATTACAGGTACCTTTTTGGTGAATATATATATATATATATATTTATATATATATATATATATAATGTAGAAATGGCGTTCTCTATTACTCATTCATTCTCTGCTGTAGCTGATAGTGGTTCAAAGATAAAGGAAAGCGAATTTTGTTCATTTGTTTACCAGTGTATGAACAACTATGCATAAGAAGTAGGGATTTTATTGCAGAATAAAGGTTGTCCCCCCCAAAAATACCACTTGTTTACACACATTGGATTTCTAGTGCTTGTGCAATGGCTGTTATGGCTTCCCAAACCAGAGTCTCTTCCTTCTGGCTGTAGATAAATGTGAAAAGGAGTCTAGGGAAACCACGCCTTCAGTAATGTCCTCAAATCCAATTGAGTATAGAGTGATATGAAATGACAATAAAACAAAATCTAGTGCAATATTTTCATTGCTAGTGATATTAGATGAAAAAAAAGAAATGCACTTACAATTTTCTGGAGCTTAAAATCAGCTCCAAATGTATTCACTTACATGGTATGCATGGTTGCCAACATTTGAAAAAAATTTCCAGGGACATTTTGCAGGACAGCTATCAATTACTACCTTAATAATTTAACACACCCACTGTCACAAAACTCCACCCAC